GTCAAACTTTAGCTTTGATTTTTTCCTGGCATTCTTGAATTTTCTGAATATGATATTCTGCAGCAATCGCTCTGGTTTTGGAATGTAACCACGCAAATGTACCTTAGCATGATTTGAAATGTTCAGTAACACTCAAACTGGCCCATTTTCTTTTTATACTATATTCCTGGTGCTCACTACATCTTGATATAATTTTCTTTTTGGTTTCATGCAGCTCAATGTATATAGAGTTGCATGAAAATTTTATTTGTTAGACGCCCGGGTTTGTATTTGAAGAATATTTTTTTTTTTTGCTACAGAATATATTATTTAAATATGGAGTTGATGTGAATATAACTTTCATGTTTTGTTTTTTAAATTCTTTTTTAAGTTTGGGACCAACAATTGGTATCAATGGTAGGTTTATAAATGATTAAATGATTTGTTGTCAATCAGTTGATTATTGGTATTTAAATCTATTTTTATACAGTCTCTGGCAATATTAGATAAATTATTGTTGTTGTACCTGTTTTTAACAAATACTATTATTAGAAAATCAATTTCTTGTAGGAGGTATTTTTAAGACCATATTCTATTTGCACGGCATAAAAAGCCTTTGAATACGTCACTGTTAATATTAGAATTGATGTTTGAGTTTGGTTTAACTTAAATATTAGTTATTGTTACTTTACAATTTATTTGAAATTTATAAACTCTATGCATTGTGTTTGTAATATCTTGAAAATTAAGTTGTTTTAGGTGGTTTTCGATTTCAACAATATATGCTAAGATAGGATTTTGTTTGTTTAGGATATTTAGAAACAATTGTTGTCTTATTGAGTTAATGTAAGCGTAACAAATGTCTACATTTCTCATGAAAGTTTTTGGTTCACATGTACAAATAGTAGCTATATTAAGTGCTTTTCTTTCTATATTTTGTAGAAACGTCTCTGTTATAAAAACCACTAAAGGCTAACCTATAGGACCTTAATTAGGTACTATTCGAATTTTTTTTTCATATAAAAAATAGCAAGTACTCAATTAAAGTTCTATTAATTGGTGTATGCCTACAACCGAAAAGTTTTTTTGAGTCTCTTAGTTGTTGATGTCATTATTCAATATATCAATAAAAATAACTATATTAAATGAAACTTGAACTTTACTGGAATCTACTTTGCATTGCCTGGCTTCATAAACAAAACTATTTAGATTTAAAAGTTTTTTTTTAGTGTTGGCTGAATGATGTTAACGATGTATTTGGAGGTTCCCTATGGCAGTGTGTTGATTGTTAATACAACAGGACGCATTAAGTAATTTTTTTTGAATTTGTACGCCTCAATCATTTATTTTTGGTATTGTAATTCAAAACCTGTACCTTAATCAATGCAATAAATTGTAATACTTGAATTCGCCTTTACGTTGTTGCTTATTTAATTTATCTTAGTTTTAACGAATTTGTCAAAATATTAGAACAGTTTTGTCTTAGAGATTCTGCCTATGTTGATTTGTTCTGTTTTTCAAGTCGCTAAGCGCACATTACAATATTAGTTATAACGACCATAAAAAGGAATTTTCTGTTTTAATGGCACAAGCTTTGAACCTTGATTTGGTAATTCAGTTGTTGCTTTATCCAAAGTAATATTAGTATAGCAGATTTAACAACTTGATAAGGAAGATTTACTCTAGGAGTATTTTTTATATTCGACTTAGCCCGTAATTTTCGTAGTTTTGTTTCATTTCCTTTTTTTTCTTTAAATAACGGTAATTTTTTGGTTTGTTAGTTATACTACTAATTAATTAATAGTCGTTTAATCTTAGTTTATTGTGAAGAAATATATTTAGTTCATCAATTAGTTTATTACTTGATTATATTCTGTGTTTTGCTTCGTTATGAGCATGAACTAATAATTTATTCCTGTATTTCTTCATTATGTTATTTGCTTTTATAGTATACATCAGAGTTTTTATTTAAAACGATTATGAGATATCTTATTTAATATGTACTTTCAAAGAAAAAAGAGTTGGTTTTTGCGTTACCATTTTGTATCTTATTTGTATCTTTTTTTTATTTCGTATCTTATTCGTATCTTTTTTAATTTCTTTTTATCGTAACTTATTTGTATCTTTTTGATTTCGCATCTTCGTATTGTTAGCATTTCAAATCTTGTTACATTTGGCATCATTGGAAATCGTTCTTCCGTAAAAAAGCAGGTAAATAATCTTTGAAAATCATTATCTTGTTATACGATAAAATGTATGTAAAACTTCATAAATACGGCTGTGTATAAACGTTATTGAAAAAACATATATTTGTTTTTTTAATTTTAATTTAATATATATTACTCGATTTTAAATAAATAAAAACCGTTACAAATAAAATCGTTATAATAAAAGCAAACCGTTGAAAAGAGCACAAGAAAACATAAAATAAGATTGAAATGTTGATGTCAGTTAGACTTCACAATAACCATTTCATAATCTTAATTGTTCAAATTGTTAAAAACTTGATTTAAGAAAAAGTTATGTCTTGCGTTAAATTTTGGAGCGTATTCTCTTGAGAATCTGTAGTTGTTATTTTTGTTTTTCTTTGTCTAATACTCTGTTGGCTATAAAGTTTATGGTTTTTGTAATGAAATTTGATCGAAGCCATATACTATTATATTTATTTGTATAAGTTCTCCACGAATTCTTCTTTTCTCTAATAATTCCAGGTTGAAAACTTTAAGTCTGTTTTCATATTTCATTTTTTTTTAAAGATGGGACCATTTTTGTAGCTCTTTTTTTGAACTTTTTCTCAATGACCTATATCTTGCTGTTTATTAGGATTTCAAACTAAAACAGCATGGTCTCACAAGCAATGTATATAATAGTTTCATAGAGCAGATACCGAAATTTCTAAAAGCTTTATTAACTATTCCCAAAATCTGGTTTGCATTATTTGCTGATTTAATTACTTTATTGTGCCATTTTAGCTTATTTGTTATAATAAAGCACAGATCTTTTTCTGTTTCTGTTTATTTTAGTACTATATGTTTATTATTATTATTTATATTTATCATGTAATATTTGATTTTTTTGTTTTTTACCCCAAAGTGCACAACTTTACATTTTTACACAACACACACCATAGGTCTGCCCGTTTTTATATAGATATAATATCATCTTCCAGCTTTGATCTTTATGATTCGTTGTTGATTGAAGCTGTTAATTTACTATCATCGGCATATAGTTTAAATGGAAATTTTAGTGTGTCTTGAAAGTCAATAATATTTATTACAAATAGAATAGGTCCTAAAACTGAACCTTGAGGAATGTATGCTTACCCAAAACCACTCTTTGTTTTCTATTTGATAAAAAACTGTAAAGCCAATTAACCAATTTTATTGAAAAGTCATCATTTTTTATCTTTTGCATTAATTTTTAGAGTGAAACTTTATCAAAAGCTTTCACTAATTCAAAATATACAACACCTACTGAAGCCTTATTGTTTAGATATTTCGGTATTTTATCAATTGTTTCAAGTAATTTGGTTATACATGATTTAGATGATACAAAACCATGTTGATTTTTATTGATTAGATTATTTTGTAGTAGATGAAACATTTTTTTCATCTCAAATTATTCTTTCAAACGTTTTACAAACAAATGACGTAATAGATATTGTCCGATAATTTGATGGATCTAATATTCTACCTTCTTTAAGAATTATTGACGTCATTATTAAAATTGTAATTTGTTTTTGGATATTAAATTAAACCACTATGAGTTAATTAATAATATATTTTTCTTTACATCTTTTACTAGAGATGAAATACATCTCTCAGACTCCTTGATCTCAATCACTTTTAAGTAAAGTTTATCAAAAGGAGTCCCCCAGTTGCCTCTTAATACAGTTTTAACATTTGCGTTTGTCAAGTTTTACAAATGCTAAGAGTTTCAAAGCTTTAGCTAGTCTTAAAGGTAGCAAAAATCAATCGCAATGTTTTGGGACAACTGATAAACGACAACAATTTGTCAAACCAACGTTAAAAAAAATTACAAGTTTATTCTAAAGTACTATTTTAATTGAATATGACTTATTTTAACTGTATAGGTTGAACACCAACACAATAAAAATAAGTTTACTAGGGTGCCCACAACCTTTAGTAGAAAAATGATCGGCTTTTTTTACCTTTTTTTTTCAAATAGATAATTTATGATAAAACGCAATAAAAGATTATATTTGTTAAAAGTTTCTTTCATCATATAGACAAATGACTTACAATTTTTTGAAAACTGTTTTAGGATTTAATATCCTTGCGGCTACCAAAAATGTTAAACTGTAGAAGAAGCACGCTCTAACGAATAGTGGCAAATTAAGAATTGCATGCATGGGTAGCATCCTCCTTACCCCCCCCCCACCTCCCTTTGTCTATTTCTGCTGAACAAAAAAATGAAACAAAAATCAATGACTTTTAAGGAGCTCCTATTAGCCCTATGGTTCTCACACGGCAGGAAGCCTGTCTCTACTCTACAGCAGCCGTGGCACAGTGATTAGAGGTTTGTTGCCAGCTCTAGCCCAAAAAGCGACATTGTTCGAAAGAAGGTGTGAAGTTCTTGTTAAATGTTCTCCTTTAGTGCTCTGTAATACAACCATAAGGACCTTATGAAGCACCTAAATAACCACAAACACTGCCCACATACATCAGAGTATTACCTTTATGTAAAATAAAATGAATTACTTTAAAACTTAAGTAAACTACATACTTTAATATGAGTTATATAAAGTAAGTTACGCTTAAAATTAATTTGTGTTTTTACATTAAAAAAAAGTAAAAGAGCCATCTCTAATGTGGTTTTTGAGGAGCTCCAAAAAGTCCTTGTGGCCTTAAAGACAGAGATTTTAAGTAGGAATTTTACGCTTTCTTCATTATTAGAGTTGGGCTAGAGTCGACATTGCACCTCGCATCATTTGGTTCTGAGCCTAAACTTTTACCACTCCGTTACGGCTAAAATTAACAGTTAAAAAAAAAGTTTTTTACCTGGAACAACATTGCTATTTGCTACACAAATCGCTGTGCATACAAACAACGTCAGGAAGATTAATCTAAAAAAATAACGAATTTGCATTATATTAAAAAAAATCGAAATATAAACAAACTGTCTATATGGTTATATTTAGCCCCCCAAGTATTATCTTGTTATATGTCACTAAATTATGGATTTGAGAAAAACACAGTTGAAATTTCAAAAGACCCTAAAATATTCAAAACTGACTTTGCATAAAATTTTATTTTAATAAAATCATTAACGTCAATGTATAATACACTCATAATATAACGTAAACATAATAACATCAATATATAATACTCTCATAAACCATTTATATAAAATTATTGTGTATTTTATGTTTTATTTTTTGATAGAGTAAAGAATCTTGACAAATTTAAAAAAAAAGTAAAAGACGTATAGTCTTTACTGTTCTGTTTTTTATATTACAAACTTTGTTAAAAACCACATATTTTCTTAAAACTCAATATTTTTATGCACGTTCTGAATTTATTAAACGTAAAAAGTAAATAATGCCCAAAGTAAACCCCCAACAAGCACACTTGTGTTGGCCCAATTTACTAAACAACATTGGCAAATTATTCGAATTTGGCCAATGACTCTCTAATGCTGGAGCGTTAAGTTTTATTTTTAAATAATATATGCCGACACAAATGTACAAAGCAGTTGTTTTATTGCCGATTGAATGTTGAAACTTTTTTTAAGTGAGGAAATCCAGGTTTCACGCTTTTTGTAAAATCAAGACTCTAATATAATAAGTGCTTAAATATCGAATATAATATGTGCTTAAATATCGAATTATTGATCTCTGGCAGGAACTTAATTTTTAAAAGTATAAGAGTATAAATAAACGTGATTTCAATTTTTTTTTATTTTTATATACATTTATTGATATATAGATATATATTTTTTATACCTGAGCTAAAAGCATATTTATTTATATTTTAATATTGATTATCGTTAAGGTAATTCCATAAAATGTAATGACCTTCACGATATAGACTAACTGAATAACTTATCAAATGACGATTCATGGTTTTGTAAGAATTGTCTTAGCTCTATATTTCTTTTCAACAACGAATATTGTTTTACAAGTGGCACAAATAGCATTATGTAAAAAGTTGTTCGTAATCCTGTAAAAAATTTTAAATCAGTTACTGATACCTTTAAAAATCTCTCATGTAAAGCTGATCATAAAATTAAATCAGCATTTAATAGCTTCTACAGTGATATCACTGGTTTAAGTCAGCTTACTAATTATATAAAAAAATTTAAACTTTTTTACTTAAATATTGCTTTCCTCTCAAAGCGCATTGATAATTTGGAGCATTTATTAAAATCGACTGCACTAGATTTTGATTTTATTGGAATAACAGAAACTAGATTAACTAATAATAAAGTTCCAACTAGGAATATCTTGCTCGATAGTTACTATTATGAACATACACCCACAGAATCAAAAGCTGGATGTGCTATCTTATACATTAATAATAAGTTTGCATTTTAACCTAAAGATGATCTTCTTGTTTACAAACCACAAGAATTAGAATCTGTTTTTGTTTGAATTAATGAACCCTAAAAAATCTAATATTACTATTAGTTGTATACATAAACATCCATTTATGTTAATAGATGACTTTAATGCATTTTATAATTTTCCATTACTTGAAAAACTTTTTTAAAGAAAATAAAACTGTATTTTTACTTGGTGATTTTAATGTAGATTTAATTAAAAGTGACTTGCATTTGACTCAAGAGTTCTTAATTTTACAATCCTTTAACTACTTCTTGCCTCATATTGTCCATCCTGCACGTATAGTTAATAAATCTAAAACATTAATTGACAACATAACTTCAAACCTTTAATCAAATAACTTTACTGCAGGTTAATTCACATCATCTTTATCTGATCACCTCCCTCAATTTTTGATTGCTAATATTTTAAAGACTCCTCAAATTGTTCCTATTTTTAAAAAAGATTCTAAGTTTTGAGTATCAAGCTATGGACCGATTTCCATGCTCTCAAATATTGCTATAAATTTAGAAAAGTTTATAGCTAATTAAGTTTACAATTTCCTTAACAACTCCAACAATATGTGTAATTTACAATTTGGTTTCAAAACAAACTATTCTACATCATTTGCCCTATTAATTATGACTGAAAATATTATAAGTGTTCTAGATAAGGAAATTTTTGGATGTGGTATCTTTATAGATCTTCAAAAAGCCTTTGATACTGTGGATATTAAAATTCTATTAAAAACAAGCTTACTATAGTATGAGAGGAGTTTCGAATTCCTGGTTCAAATCTTTCCTTACAAATAGAAAACAGTTTTTGTCTATCAACAGATCGAACTTACTAATACTTGTGATGTCACTGTTGGTGTGCCTCCAGAGTTTGTGCTGGGTCCATTATTGTTTTTAATCTGTATAAATGATTTATCCAGAGCTATAAAATTTTGTTAAGTCCAACACTTTGCTGATGACACAAATCTACTGTATCTTAGTAAGTCAAATAATAAAATTAATAAATATTTTAACTATGATCTAAAAAAGCTCTGCAACTGGTTAAGTGCCAACAAAAAGTCTTTAAATACAAGTAAAACTGAATATATTTTGCTTAAAGCCAAGGTTAAAAAATCCTCATCATCAATTTAAAATAAAATTAAATGGTAAAAAAATTTTATCTCTAAAATGCGCAAACTATCTTGGAATTAAGATTGACGAAAGTTTAACCTATAATGATCATATTATTAATTTAACAGTAACCCAATGCAATTCTGTCTAAACTTAGACATCTTGTTGACAAAAAAAACATTAAAATCTATATATTTTGCCTTATTTAGTTCACACCTCACTTACGGTTGTTTATTTAGTTCACACCTCACTTACGGTTGTTTAGTTTTGGGACAAAGCTCTTCTATCAATAATCGTCTCTCTGTTATTAAAAAAAAAGCTATTCGAATAATAATTTTTTTACCACATAACTCCCACACAATAGATTCATTCAAAGAACTCCAATTAATAAATTTTTCCAGCTAGATAAAAATTGAAAACTTTCTTTTTATTTGCAGTTGCATTAATGATAAGATGCCATCCATCTTTAAAGAATGGTTTATTTCATTAATACATGCTGATACCCAAACTACTAGTACGTCTCAAATACTTGCTGATACCTAAACTACTAGTATGTCTCAAAGAAGCGGATTGTGTGTTCAAGCTTTTGATACAAAATTTTATGGTAGACATTCCTTCTACAATTACTGACTCGAATTTCTTACAAAGTAAGCTAAATACTTATCATTTCTGTGAACTAAATGAAAAAAGTCGAAAAGAAAAAATTTAATTATTCTTCTTAAAATAAATAAATTAAATTCTTCTTCTTAAATTCAATGAATTAGAGACATTAGTTTTTCATTAGTATTATAGTGATATTTATATATGGGTACATATTCTATTTTGTTTTCTGCTTTTTTTTTGTGTGTGTTTTTTTTCTTTTATTCATTTTTATTTTATTTGTATCAATTTTTTTAAACTTGTTTATTTTCTTCGCCCTTTATGAATTTGTATTGTTTACAAGGTCGCTCTTCTCATTTAAGCCAGGCTATATGTGATTGGTGTCTGCAAAATAAGATGACACAATTGAGACTTGCATCACTTCTATGCATTTTCAAGCCATACTTCTCTAAAATGTAGGAAAATATAGTGTATTAATAGAAGTAATATAAGTATTATAATGCAAAGAAAAGATGTAAATTCATAGAAGAGAGTAAGCGTCACTTGAGTTATCTTTTATGGCAAATACCACTAGCCAAGTATGTTATTGAAGTAAATGTGTAAGTTAAATAAATACTATATTTAAAATTTGCATTCTTCTTCACTTTAATGTTCATTAAAAAATCTTTTTTAAGTTATTTAAAAAATGGAGTGTGTGTTCTATTTTGCACTTTATTAATGACAACTCAGTAGAAACCATAATGCTTATGTGATTTGTCGGTTTGAGTTTATGATACAAGTTTTATTTAAAAAAATTGTTAAATTATAAACAAATTTTTAAAACCCAATTCTTTTATATGTTTATAGGTAACACATTTTATTCTGGTATTACTATTTTATTTTATCAAGCTATTGCGGTTAAATTTATTTTTCATGAAAATTTGTTAATCGCTTACTTTGATTGATAATATCTGCTTTATATTTATTGATAAATTTTAAATTTAATGTACAAATTTCTTAGCGTTATAAAACTTGTAACCCTCACTAAATTATGGTGGGGTGGGGGAGGGGGTTTCTAGCATTAAAGCAAATAGCCGATGTTCGTGTTGTATACAACGTTGATCCAATGTTTTAAACCAGTTATTTAACATATTTACAATTTTCAAGTTATTATCCCTACTATGTTGTAGGTAAGTTGGTGCATCTTTAAAAAGATGGCTATCAAAAAAAACAACATTAAATTATATCTAAATTTCCATTTGAAAAAATGAGTCACAAGCAGTAAGCCAGATAATGTCATATATGTCACGTTGCCCTAATTTCAGAGTTGAAAGAAAGAGCTGAATTTGGCCATAAAGGCCATAAAGGGTGCTGCAGTTGATGAGGCTCCTTTTTATTTCAATTGTGGTTATAACCCTCTCTCAACTCATTAACTTCGAAGTATTTCAATACATGTCAAATACATTTGTGTGTAGTTTTTGTATATGATATGTGATATGATATAGTTTTTAAAATTGATAAGTTATACCAATATATATATATATATATATATATATATATATATATATATATATATATATATATATATATATATATATATATATATATATATATATATATGTATATATATGTATATATGTATATATATATATATACATATACATATATATATATATATATATATATATATATATATATATATATATATATATATATATATATATATATATATATATATATATATATATATATATATATATATATATATATATATATATATTATATATATATATATATATATATATATATATATATATATTGTCATAGTACTATCATTTACTTATTCTCTTATCTTTCTAACCGAAAAACTAATTAATCTTACATTTTAATAAAACTCATGTCAAGTTAAAATATACATTTTTTGAATGTTATTATTTTTCTTCAATATTTATGTGCAAAGTTAAAGTATTAAGTTATCAAGGTGTTTAAAATCAGAACAAGTTGACTTAAATATACATAATCACATTATTTAATCTTAAACTTAAACTTAACAATAGAATATTTGAACGAGTTTACACTAAGAATTGGTAACAAAGGTTTTGCTCAACAGTTTGTGAGTTTGATTTCAATATGTTTATTATGATTTATAGAGCAAAACCTGGACATTATATTTTAACGCCCATCTTTTTAAACAGCAAAAAATTTACAATCACTTTATTAAAATGAATCTAAATCATTTGCTGTTACAAATTATGTCATTTATTCAGCCTATAAATATTTTTAAACATTTTAGATTGGTTGCAGCCTAACAAAATTGTGAAAAAACAGTATTGAATAGTTCTAATGTTTTAAAATTTTATTTCCGTTACAAAATTTAGTGAATAAAAATGTTTTATATTTATGAGTTTGCCATGATTGCTCTGATTGAATCATGGTAAAATACTTATTCAGTTCTAACTGTTTATTAAATAAGCTTGGGTCTTTAAGACTTGACCTTGGTGAATCCAGTAAAATATATTTAAATAAGATCTTATGTGTAAAACACTTCAATGTGCCTTTTTTATATTTTTTTCTTTTTTAGGCCAACTCTCACGTGCTGGCGGAAAGTTACCAAAATATTGGATAAGTACTTAATTCACAAGTAACTTTTGTATTTCTTCGTTTATATTTTAATTTGTTTTATGTATATTCAAAACATTGCAGGCATTATGAATATATGCAAAGATTTTGTTGATTATTATTTTAATATAACTTTAAATGAGTATACATATTGCATGTTAATATTTATATAACACATTAGCAAACTAATACAAATGGCTATAAAAATGATATCAATAGAATATTTTGAAGTATTTTTATTATAAAAGTTCATTTCTTAAAAGTTAAAAAATGCTAATTTGAATTATGAAAATTGTCAAAATTTTTATAAAATGTTTGTATTTATAATACTATAAAGTATGCATGTCAAAAGTATCAAAAATATTATTACCAATATATGAATAAATTGTTATTATATATATATATATATATATATATATATATATATATATATATATATATATATATATATATATATATATATATATATATATATATATATATATATATATATATATATATATATATATATATATATATATATATATATATATATATATATACATATATATATATATAATATATATATATATATATATATATATATATATATATATATATATATATATATATATATATATATGTATATATATATATATATATATGTATATATATATATACATATATATATATATATATATATATATATATATATATATATATATATATATATATATATATATATATATATATATATATATATATATATATTATATATATATATAATCCGAAGTTATATTTAAAAGTTTTTAAATTATAATAGCACATATTTACGGACAAAACTTCTAAAGACAAAAAAACGCATATTGCCTTAAAGGCCAAAGTGCCGATCGAAAAATCAAACTAGTTTCATTCTAAGTTATTGTATATACTTTTAAAATTTTGGAATAGAAGTGATGCAATATTTATTTATTTTTAGTCTTTTAATTTCCGTATTCAATATTTACCCGGACTAATATAATAATCGTGTATAACCTAAATAAATAAGAGGAAACATAGCTTGACAGCGCAAAGTTATACAATGTAAAATTTTCCTTTATTGTTTTTTGCAGTGTAGAAATAACATCAAAAATGATAGAAAAACGTTAGAGGGCGTTTTTCTTACAACGTTTCGCAACATTGTTAATATAACGTTGACCTATGTTTCATATATGCCATTATTCCAACGTGTATAAAACGATAGAAAAGACGTTGGCTCAACGTCCTTTTAGCTAAAGTATAACGTTATCCTAACGTCCTTATAACGTCTTTTTTCTTCAAATTTAACGTTGCTCTAACGTCTTTCCGCATCTTTCCGACGTCATTTAGCTAAAATGTAACGTTGTCACCACGTCATTTTACATCGTTGTAGTAACGTTAGTAAAATGACGTTTTTTCGGTGTTTCATTTATAACATCATGCCAATGTCTTTCCAACGATACGAAAGACGTTAGAACAACGTTGTTCCGACGACATTTTTATTATTGGGCTAATACATTAACATTTAGTCAAAAATTAGTATAAGTAAATTAATCTTTTTCTGTTGCAGAATAAGCTTCTAATTTAATAAGTTTAATAATAAATTAGTATTAGTAACAGTAGTCATTAGTTAACTAAAGAGTTATTAATTTGGTCTATAATAGTTTAAATGAAAATAATTTGTTGTTAAAACAATGTAATCCTAGCATCTAAATAAAAAAAATTTAAAAACATAACGGAATTTATAACGAGTTGTTAGCGACTTATAAAAAATTTTCCTCTTTCCAGTAATTTTTCTCCATTGTAATTAAATAAAGTCGTGGAAGCATTAAACAGATTTATACTCCTGTTTTATACTTCCGTGATTGATTCATTAAACTTTCTTGACGCCATTTTTAAAAACCCAAAATAATAAATCTCATGGCTCACCCTACAACATTGATTTGCTAAAATGACCATGAAAAATTTTAATATCAATATAAATGTTTTCTTTTATTGACATTATTGTGACATTATTGGGACATAGAATAAGATAAAACTGGCAAAAAAAGCTAATTTCAATTTGAACAAATTCAAATTGAGAAAATCATTACGAAGTGGAGAAGGTACAATTATATTAGGAGGAGAATTTAGTAGGTTTTTGAAATTATCAAAGTTTCTAGTTAAAACAAGAATAAACTTGGGGGTAATAAGTAAAAAGTTGAACACTTGTTAAGTCGAACTTTTTTTATATCAAAATGTTTTCTATAGTCCCTTGAAAGCAAGAACATTTTTACTTAGCTTAAGGTTAACTTTCGTTTAGTTAAACTGTTATTCTTGGTCACTTGGAAGGTCGAGTTAACGGAAATATACTCAATAATACATACTAAGAGTTTTAATAGTTATTATATAAGCTATAAACTTTAATAAGTTTCAAGTTACTGTAAAAAATTATTACAATACAATATTAACCCGTTCAATAATGAATATTTATA